ATTATACCCAGCTCATTTGAAAGAATAATTGACTTAACATCAGGATATCATCAAGTCGATACATGCTGATATCCATGTGCTAAGTCAATGGAACCAAATAAAATAATAAAACAAAAAAATGAAATGAAAACCAAAGGTTAAGGTCAAAATTGTCCTTTGCAACATTCTTTATCATAATTTCACATTTTAAATTTTGTAAACGATGATTTTGCACGCAAGATTCTTTTATTATCAGATATGCACTGACTTGACCTTTACAAGGTCACTATGGCCTCAAAAACACTTAGGATGCACCTGAACACTATGCCATAATTAACCCCTTACATACTAAATACCATATTATGTCATAATGGTCATGAATGACCTGGGGGTAGTTTTATATACTTTGTATGACGGATCCTTTATCTATTAATGCTCGTTCACTAGAAGCAATATTCACTAAAATTGTCATGTCACGTTTTTCATTTGCTGGGGACTTCCAGGAAATCGTCTTTAAGGTGTGACTATATTGCCACATTTAGGTCGCATTACAACCTTGTCTCTATGGGTGTACTACTCTCCCCGTCATCCAATTTGGAATAACCATCCACAATTGAGCAAACAATTACACTTTCGCGTGTTGGGATGAATTTACGATCCCCGAGACTAAAATCATCGTTCCCCTTGCTGTGATTAAACAAAATGAAGCACAGAATTCCATTTAGCAAATCCCCATATTAAAACCTAATTTAGCGTAGATTTTCCCTATTGGACGAGCCTTTGAATGGCGCTATTTTTAAAAAATTGATCGGATAATCCTTTAAAGCTTTTAAAATTGAACCCTTCAAATACTGTATCACGACTCACGTACGTGGGTACGTGGGCATAAGGTACAAGTTTTTTTATACAAAACCTATATTTAATAAGTTATTATACAATGCAGAAGCCAGACCCTATTAATGTTACATAATTTTGCAGAGCAATTGACTTTAATCAGGACAATGACATCACGAAGAAATCCTGTATTTTGATTGGTCAGATTTCTCTGGCCTCTCAAAAGGTGACTGACTTTACTGAATGATCTTCTTCGTTCACTCGGCTCCCGTCGGAAGTAACGCAGTGAAGACAGAGCGTGCGAAGATGCTGAATAATACCATCCCTGGGCAGTTTAAATCGATTGATGGATTCATTTTATATTGTTTTATTCAAGTACATCAAGTAATCTTTTGTAATATTAGATAAATAACGTCTGATCAAATAACTTAATCGCCCAGTTTCTGGTGACAATACACGATGTATCTAAATTCCTCTGATGGATGATTGTCCCACACATGATTTGCAAATCGTATCAGTGAATGTTGGAAATTCAACCAATGGATGGCAGTGATAACAGGCAAACATCACAATTCTAGGTTGATTTCGGTTTAACACATTGGAAAGAAGGAGATGTATTTAAAAAACACACGAAAACACGAGGACTACTTTCCAAGTAGTGTATTTTAAAATTTGTACAGACACCATCATGCAGAATTTAAAAGTTGTTCAGACACCATCATTTTTCGAAATAAAAAACAGTGATATCTCAAAAAATATGCATCCTCTGCTTGTAAATTCAGGTTCATTTGAAAGACTAAGATAGTATGCACAAGTGGGGCGGGATTTGAAGCATTTAACAAAGTATAAATATGAAAATTATTCGTTTTTCTTGCTTAATCGAGAAAATCTTACGCCTTGTTCAGACACCATCAGTTGCGAAGGTCACGTGATGACAATCCCTACCGTGAAACTAGAATCTATGGATGCTAATTTGATATCAAGTTTGTTATACAAAATTGATTATTTTTGATATCGTGGATGATCTTGGAATGTGTCCAATTTTCGGAAATCGGGATTGAGACAAAATTATTTCTTGCATTTTTTGAGAAATTCAGAAGGAAATTCCAAAGAAGACAAGAAATGAAAGTAATATTTTATTTCAAAAGTGAAGAATAGATAATTGTAAAACACCAAGTAAAAGATCAGATGAATGGAATTCCTGGCCTCTAAGCAACAACACCTCAAACCCTCATCCATTGGATGAATTCTCAAGAAATCATTTAGACAGCAGAATGATCAGTCAAGAACATTTAATGACATATGAAGTCAATGTTCAATAATGAGTTGGAAGAGGAAGAAAAGAGAACTGTTTAACACCTAAATGGAAAAAAATTATCAGCTTACACCTATCTAGGAAGGTTTCTAAGAATTGAAGTATGAGAACACCTAAAAGCACTGTGTGTGATTGCAATGAACGCAGTTCCAAAATATCGCTCAAAGGGTGCAACCACACCTAAAGATGACTTTAAGGTTGCTAGAAGACTTCCTCATTAACGATCTTACCCTCTGTACTCACAGAATGCAGCTTAACAAGAAGAATATGATGGTTTTAAACAAACGATGTGTAATCTTTTGGTTGACATGAAAATCTTTCATTTTCTTTTCTTTCAAAAGTGGGCTTAATTTTAAAACGGCCATAACAAGAAGGACATTAAATGTTATGTAACAAATTTGGTCTCACATGGTCATTCATAGATTGTTGTTTCTGTACACGAAGAATGAAGCTGATTACATATGTATTAAAGAAATTATTTCATTTTTTGAGGGTTCTATTTGTGGGTCACCCTGTACACTTAAATGTGCATTGGGCATGTACTGTTACTGGTATTCGTCGAAAACGGAACATGTCTCATTCATGTGCATATAAGATTGGATGCCCTAGGGGACGGGAAAAACATCTCATAGACAATAAAATAAAAGCTCCTGGAGAGATCGTCGATGTACCCATGGTAATATTTGAAACGGCCAGAAATCAAATGACTAAAAGCCAAGTGAATCAAAACATTTTAACCAACTAAAAGTTCTTTTCTTTTTCTAAAAAGCCCTTTCCCGAAAATCAAATAACAAGATGCGTTTGATTTGAATTCATCATGCATTATTATATTGTATTGCATCGTATTGTATTATATTGTATTGTATTATATTGTATTGAATCGTATTGTATTATATTGTATTGCATCGTATTGTATTATATTGTATTGTATTATATTGTATTGAATCGTATTGTATTATATTGTATTGCATCGTATTGTATTATATTGTATTGTATTATATTGTATTGAATCGTATTGTATTATATTGTATTGCATCGTATTGTATTATATTGTATTGTATTATATTGTATTGAATCGTATTGTATTATATTGTATTGCATCGTATTGTATTATATTGCATTGCATCGTATTGTATTTTATTATATTGTTTTGTATCATATTGCATTGCATCGCATTGTATTGTTTTATATTGCATTGCATCGTATTGTATTGTATTATATTCAATTGCATCGTATTGTATTGAAACTGCACTTTGATTCTAAACAAAATTCCAAGAAGCGATTTGGAGTCGGTATGACTTTCATAATTACATTTCCTGAAAAATTAAATATAGATTATTGAAAATAATATGATATGTGGTCGTCTGGTGACATCGCCTTTGTTTTCTATTGCTTTCCCCATACCATCTGATTAAACAATTAAACAGCATACTAGTAATACATAGTTTTCAATTAAACAGCATACATAGTCAGGCGGCTAAAAGGTAAGGCGAAATATTGTTTCTATGCTTATATATTAATTACTATTATCATTTTATTTCAAATGTTCGGGTAATGCAATAAATGGCGTGGAAGCTATTATCCAAAAAAAACAAATTACAAAATTAATTACTTAAAACCGTTAACCATTTGTCCATATTGTGTGTGGTATAATAAATGTACTTAATAAGTATATAAATATAATAAATATCTTAATCTCTACAGCTTTTTACAGAGTAAACGCAATCATTAGATTAGATAATATAGCTGTCTAATACATTTGTAAAATAAATAAAGAATACAAAAGCATTGATTTAAGTAACGTATCTAATAAATTTGATTATAAGTAAATTAATTTTGTCATATAGTTACAGAGCGTAGCCCGAAATTAAAATAGCCGAGGGAAATGTTAAAAGGGGGCATTTAAAGGGGAGAAAAATGTTATAATCCAGGCATTTAGCAGGTCGCTAATCTTGGACTTATTTCGATTTTGAATGTTTTAATTGGAAGAATGATAAATACATTATAAAAGTGGCTTTTTGTCTTATCATTCTACAGTACAATTTGGACACATATCAGAATAACTTTTTCAATAATTAGGGAATCTTCATGATGTTTAATGTGTAGAGTGTTCAATGGATAAATTATTCGTATGCTCGCATGGCAACAATAACTTTGATATGGTTAATGTACAAAAAGATTGGGAAAATAACCAAAAATAGAAAAAATAACAAAATAATAAAGGTATTTTTTTCTTTTTGGAGATCAATTATGTAATATCCCCCAATCTTTTTGTACATTAACCATATCAAAAAATGTTGCTTTTGGGCCCGATATTTGACCTCGAATTTTCATTGTTTTTCGGATTATCCTAATCCCAAGTAGACTCACTTTCCTTGTCAGACGTAAATCATGACTTATATTTATTTTTTTTCAATTTAGTCGTAAAAATTGTAATATAATAAAATGGTGCATTTTTGGTAAAAATTGGCTCAAAATTTGGGAAAAATGGTGGGTTGATTGGTGACAGCCTAAGAGATAATCCGATCGACTTCACTTTCATTATATTGCCCCTTATATAAGATAACATATTGGCCAAACAAACGCATTTGTTTTTGTTGTCGAATAATCATTAGAACTAAGTAAGCGCTGTCTAAAAAAGCTTGCAATAACTATTACCTCCCCTTTTACCAAATACGCGAGTCAGTTTATCGACAAATTAGGGTAGATATTAGACATTATTATTGGTAATATATGTGTACGCTAATGAAAGCAATCCAGAAGTACTTCAAACAATGACTAAGACACCAATTTCAGAAAATTTTATTTTTGAATATTTTTTGACGATTTCACCGAGAGCATGGACATGATGGACGAGGGGCGTGCTCGTGATAATTTTAAATCTCAAATTTGTTGTTTGTGCTATCCAAGTACAACAATTTTTTATCCACTGAACACTCTATCAACAAATCACGAAGATTCCTTAATTATTGAGATTAACATGATTAATTTATACCAAAATTAGTGAGTGGCATTTTTGTGTGATCTTGCTGTAGAATATGCTGGAATTTGAAAAAAAGCAGACTTTTAAATACATGTATGTTGTCATGTATCTTATCATCATCATCCGATCACAGGGCGTCAAGATCCAGAATTCTTGATACCTGTTTAGGAGGATGTCTATATACATTTTAGCTTTTCCAGTTAGGTCTACAACAACAAATAGCATACAGTGCACGACAGGATGCCGTGGCACATATTAATATGTGCTATATATCTACTTCCTACCTTATTAGGTAAGGTCCTTGTAAAACTTTCAAATGATATTTCGTTCGTTAATTGATTTTCAGTAATTTCCTTTCATATTGCATTAGGGCGATTTTTTGTCAATCGGTCTACGTCAATGTAAATATGACATTAATGATTGGGATAAAAGAATCATCATCATCATTAATATGTTCATATTAACTGAACATTAAATGCATTAATCTACTAGTATATTGTGAAAACCCTTGAGACAGTGGGTAAGACGCGGGATCATTATAAACAATATACTTTAATTGTGGTTATAATCTATCTTCGATTTTGATATTACGAATGCATGGTTGAAACAATGGTTGAAACAAAGATTGACCAGGAAACATAAGATGTTTGTGTAATGTTCAATCTTGGAATACATTGCTCATATCTAACATCTCCCATGTCTCTGAATCATTTTCTAAATGCAGACGCTGAATCGGGTACAACAGTATCCCCTGATCAAGTATGTCAAACACAGTCGATTTGTACGGATTCAAATGAATGCCCGGCAAACCAGCATTGCAGGGAGCAGAAATGTAATATTTGCCCATTAGGACAACCAAGCGATTGCGAGATGATTCAATGTGACGGAAACCGCAAAAGTTGTCCTGACACGCACACCTGTATTAATGCAAACACATCACAACATCAGTTCTCTGTTTGTTGCAAAAGTAAGTAGATTTTGACGTTTAATATCATTCAGCAAATATTTCACAAGAGATCTATATACATTTTATTAGTGCTATATGCTTTGCTAATTATGTCACCTCCAAAAGTGGACACACATAGTTATAGTTTGCAACTTTTTGTGGACAGCGTTTGGCGTTTAGACGGCTAGCGTCAAGCACTCTGCATTTCCAGATAAAATCCAAATTATGTTTGATTTATAACATCATTAGTCAATCCCAAAACTGACCTGATATATCATCATTGCGCATTTTCACCGAAATCCAAGATGGCTGCGGCAAGTGTCTCAATATTACAGATACAACGACATAGCTTAGATACATCCGTTGAAACATATCCATGCCAGTGTTTTATTTCAATGAAAACTAAAATCCTAAAATGCAATTGCTCCCAGTTTTTCTTATATTTGACAAAAACTAGATTAGGATACACGCTGCTTCACAATATGTTTGATTAACAACCAAAATTATATATTAATAAGAATATTTTGAACCCAATGTCATTCATAAACAACTTTTCGAACCTAAATAAACGCACAATATGATAATATTGGCTATGACCATGGTAGTTAAGTCATAGCAGTTTAAACGTTTCATGGAACCTTTAAAGTATGAAATAGAGTCACAGAGTTACCGTTCATGAGGTATTTCAGTTCAAAGTTTCGTGTTCTTATGTTTATATAGTGACTCCCTTAAAGTAGATGCTGTTAAGGGATTAAAGTGAAATTCAATTATTTCTTCCATATATATTCAACAAAAATGAACATGACTATTTGCAATATATTATAGTTACTGGTAACTGGACCGATTGGGGAGAATGGACAGGTGAATGTCATCCAGAAGGGGGTGGTAAAGTATTTCGTTATAGAGAATGTCTAAGTCAGAATAATGTAAAGATGGACAAAGAGAACTGCGTTGGTGAAATATTTGAAGCAAAACCATGCAGTAACACGATGAGCAAAATTAGAAGTAAGTCATGCCTTTACTGAAGAAACAGTTAGTCTCTGAAATAGTGATACCAAACAATATACAAAACGAAACCATTTTATCAAATCATTCATAGAAAATACCATGCTGTAGTTTTGTCTCCTTTTTGGTGGCCATTTTGAATTCAGTAAAAGAAATTTAGAAATTAGGGATTCTTCTTCTGGAGGTCCTGCGACAATAATGCCAGGGATTGGCATCTATAACTTGTATTTAATTATATAATTAATATTCAAGTTATCATAAATGTCATTTTAGTACCAGTCGTCTTCAAATTTCTTTCTTAAGCAGAGGCATGTGCCTAGGAAGTATCATATAATCTGAATTTAATCGGACAACTGATATTTATCCCATCGAACGAAGTTCGGAGGGATATAGGGAACGCCTCCGTCCGTCCGTCCGTCCGTCCGTACGTACGTCTGTCCGTCCGTACGTACGTCCGTCCGTCCGTCCGTCCGTCCGGGCAATAACTCAAATACCGTTGGCCCGATTTTGTTCATATTTTATACACATATACCCTATGGGGGTAAAAGTTCTGCTCGAAAGCCGATTTTCAAAATGGCCGCTCATTTCAAAATGGCGGCCATTTTAGTGCCAAATTTACAGTAATTTAGGTGCAATATGTAAAACTGTAATAGCAATATGTTTTAGATGTAAAAAATTATATAGGACATTAATAAAGCTAGAAATGTAGATATTAAAGAAGCACATGGCAGCCATCTTGAAAAATAGCGGCCTTTACTCATTATTTTACGAATTTTGCTCTAACTCGAAAAGTAGTGGAGCGATTTTGTTCATATTTGGTATGTGAATACTATAAACATTGCACACTGTCTAAAGACACTTTTGGAAGAAGGTGGCCATTTTGAAAAATGGCCGCCATTTTGAAAAATTGTCACCATTTTAACGTATTTTACTCGAAAACGTAGTGAAGCGATTTTGTTCATATTTGGTATGTGAATACTATAAGCATGGCACACTGTCTAATGACACTTTTGGTAGAAGGCGGCCATTTTCAAAATGGCCACCATTTTAACGTATTTTACTATAACTCGAAAAGTAGTGGAGCGATTTTGTTCATATTTGATATGCGAATATTATAAGCTTGACACACTGTCATATAACACTTTTGAAAGAAGGCGGCCATTTTGAAATTTTTTTTGAAAAATGGCCGCCATTTTAACATATTTTACTATAACTCAAAAAGTAGTGAAGCGATTTTGTTCATATTTGGTATGTGAATACTGTAAGCATGGCACACTTTCAATTGACAGTTTTGGTAGAAGGCGATCATTTTTGCAAAATGGCCCCCATTTTAACATATTTTACTATAACTTGAAAAGTAGTGGAGCGATTTTGTTTATTTTTGGTATGTAAATACTATAAGCACAGCACACTGTCTTATGGCACTTTTGGTAGAAGGTGGCCATTTTGAAAAATGGCCGCCATTTTAACGTTTTTTGCTATAACTTGAAAAGTAGTGGAGCGATTTTGTTATAAGCATGGCACATGGTTTAATGACACTTTTGGTAGAAGGCGGCCATTTTGAAAAATGGCTGCCATTTTTGGTATATACTTTGTTTGTAAAAATGCCATCCATAGCTGTTCGATGGGATTCGCTACGCTTTGGCGTTGCCGTTGTTCTGGTTAAATTATCAAGAGTTACATAATTTTTATGAAAACTGTTGAAGACTTTGAATTCAGCTGCCATCTTGAATATTTGTTGTTGACCAGAGGCCATAATTAAAAAATATCTACAGGGGTGACATGGTTTTTCCACATTGTCGGTGCTATTATTTTTATCTAACGCTCAATTCAATGTCCCTTTTCTAAACAATACTGATGATGTTAATATGTGAAATGAACACGTACGACCGAGCACAACCTCTTTGTTTGAATACACACTGTTTCAAGTAAAACTTTTAAAGCAGAAATAACAACAAATTTTAAAGAAGTAAAATAATATTTTTTCGTTCAGGGGCCAATGTAAACAAGGTCCAAGGAACCAAAATCAGAAATATTACATCATATTCTATGATGATATCAATATCAACAAATGTAACCGATGAAGGCCATCCTGGAACTGGTCACTTCTGTGGTGGCATTATCTTAACTGACAAGTATGTTCTAACTGCTGCTCATTGTCCCTGTGGAAAAGTTGGGGATACATGTTGCGATTTGGAGGAAGGAAAGAAAAAGTTTAAGTAAGCTTGTATTGTATTTGCAAATGCCACTTTCGACTGTCGGCTACTGGATACTATGAGGTTATATAATGGTTCATTCTGTATATCGTGTTTATACTCGAGTGAGTATATAATCTATTCACAAGTGAGCGTAGCGAACGAGTGAATATAGTATATTCTCACGAGAGTATAAAATGCACGATATACAGAATGAACCATTATATAATCTTATTATGCCACTCTAAGTTCAATTAAAGTTAATTCAAACACAATCATAACAATTATAAAAACCATAAAAATATTCCATAGCCAACTCAGTAATGCCGATGTTGACCTCGATCCATTTATGACGTCACTTGATTCTAGGAAATCATGTGTAACAAAACATACACCTCGTTCTTCGGTCAATATTCATTAGTTCCCAGAATGCACTTCTACAGTGGTATACGCTGGAGTGTATACGGAGGAGTTGTACACGATGACGATATACCACTCTCCACTGTATATCGTTGTTATAGACCCATGTTATACAACTGTAATCGGACTTAGAGTGGTATAAATATATATACCTATACATTTCATAGATTAACCCGTCAATTTGAACTTGTATTTAACGAACCACCAGTTAGCTGATGAACAGTAATAAGTGATCGCATGATTTTTATGTCACTGTGACGATCAATTATAATATAGCTGCTTGGTTGAATAAGCGAACAGATCGTACGTCATTGTTACTTGCAGCTAAAACGGCTGTTATTTAGGTCAGCGATTGGGCTTCATGCGATAGCTTCGAGAAAGCTACTATTCATATTAAAGGAACAAATGCGTAAATGAAGTCTCACTCTTCATCTTCATAGTATTTCCAATGGATTAATAAGTACCATATCTTTCATTTGACACCAAAAACAGCTCAAACAGATCACATCACCAAGTGGTAATTCACTTTTGATCACAATTGATCTCTTAATTTCAAATGCTGTTTTCTATGCAAGTGATTTTTTTCACTTCAGTATTGAACCAAATTAAAGTTTTTATCATATTTGATTGAGTGTGTGAGTAAAATGTCTCAAATGATATGCTGTCCATTTTCCTTCAAAAATAGGGGCATTTGCCTGTTTAAAATGAGTTTGCTATCAAATTGTAATCATTCCGGTAACCGCTAGCCGAAAGTTGCATTCGCGAATACAAGTATCACGCATGATGTTATTTTTCTACTTTATGTTTGTATTATTTTCAAATGTTGTCCTATTAACATGTACGTTAACGTTATCTTTAGTATTGCTCTTATTTTATATTTTCCCAACTAGAATGTCTCAGGACGTGCCCCAGAAACTTTAATTTAACGTAATTGTAGTGTGAAATCTCTTACCAGAGAGATATTCTAGATAATGATACGTCATTTCTTCAACATTATAACACACACTGTTTATGGGAATCAGGGGCGGTTCTTAGGGGGGCATGGGGCCCACCCCCCCCCCTAAGTTGGGCCCAAAAAATGCCCCAAAAAGTGGGCCTTTTTGGTCATTACTGGGCCTTCTAAGGCCTTATTATTTTAATTTGAGGCCAAATTTTCAAGAAAATGGGCCTCAAAATTTCAAAATTTTGGCCCACATTTCAGTTTCAGGGGCCCAAAAATTTTTTCGCGCAAGCGCAGAAGTTTCTTTCCTCTGACCTGAAATTTGGGCCCCCTCCCTTGTTGGTTCCCAGATCCGCCCCTGGGAGTGACTAAAATACGAAACACATGTCACATTTGTTTTGCAGTTCGACTCGCTGTAATCCTGCGAATTGGAAAGTTACTGCGGGGGAAACACAGCAAAATCCAAAGAAATTACAAGGCCAAGTCAGAGGAGTCACTAAAATTATAATACACAGAAACTATACTAAGGTTAACCACGAAGACATTTTTGATGTCGCATTAATGCGCATTGACCAACCATTCAACTTTTCTGGAGTGACGATTCAGCCTAGCTGGCTACCGTCCAGTATATGCAGTGGACTTATGGACGAGGAATGTGAAGAACATTTACAATTAGCTAGTGAAAAACAGGAATGTGAAGTTGTTGGCTGGGGATCAGGAACAAGTATAATTTGATTTATCTTATCAATTTCTAGGTTAATATTAATTTGCCATCAGAGAGTCTTTAGAAGTAAAACACTTAATTAGCTTAATTAGCTAGATTAGCATTATGCACTTAATTGGATATCATTGTAATAATATTAAATTAAAACCTAGTCGAGTTAATTAATATCACATAAAATCCTAATTAGCTTAATTAAGTGCATACTCACGTTCTCTGGAAAAATTAATATTAATGTTTGGGCCTAAAACGCCAACGCAGCTTACCATTCAACGGTGAGCTGCCCGCCCAACCAGAATTGATAAGAAATATAATTTAAGCTGATAAACTTTTATTCAAATAAATGGATATAATATTGCTTAACATATTTATCAGAAACACATAGAAGTAATGTTGGGGCTGGCCCATGTACCTGATCACTTACACTTTCTGTTGTTCGCTGAATTGATTTTGTTTTTGATTATTACATTTTATCATATAGTTAAAGGCATCAGACTTCCATCGTCCCATCGATCTAATTTGAGTGTGTGTACAAATCATTTTGGCAGCATGGATTGCGCCCCCTATTCTGAGGGAATGTATTTTAAATTTGGACCTGTCCATTCCAATAATGTCCAAAGTCTCATTCAAAATGTTTATGAAATGAGCTCTTAAAATTTGAGGACCCTTTCTTGAAACCAAAAGATATTCAGAGCCACTTACTCTAACCTTCAAATACTGTTTCATGAGCCTCAAAGGGCATACTTTATCGTTTTGCCTATACACTCATATTCTTGAATTTTGACCTTTGACAGGATGTTTAAATGATGAAAATACAATACTTAAAGAGACTCTATTGAGACTTCTCTGTGGCATTTTTTCTTTATTCCTTTTTGTTTTAAATTTTTAACACCATAACATTAACTAACTACTCAATATGCAACTTTTCACCACGTAGTTTTCAATATGGTCATTTGATTGCTTACTTTTTTAAATTCATAGTAGTCACAAACATTTCTGTTTTGACTATATAACCCTAAATAGCAAGCTAGGTGCCCTAATGCCCTTTTTGTGCAAAATTGAAAGATGTAGCCCATGCAGGGAAGAGGCATGTTTACCGACAATAGGACATGGTCATGAATTTTGGTCATGGGATTTGATCAAATTGGCAAAAATACACATTGACCTTAAAATCATTTTTTGCTTTCAACTATAAAAAGTGCAAAAACAAAATCATATGGCACCACCTATATCAATAACTTCTCTAAAAGAATGTGGATATTTTCTTTTTTATCACAAAGCCTACAATTCCACTTCTCAATACTTTGTTTATTTACTTACTTACTAAACTAATTATAGATATATAAGCCTCATATACAAAATAGTAATACATATCCAGCGATGCATGACGGAAGTTAAAATAAGATTTGTCACTGTACCTTCCTAGACCTCCTTCTTGCTGGAAAGTTTAGAATAAAGAAATTACATGTGAAGTCACATGTATGTAACCATGTGACCAAAAACCAAATGAGGGGATTGATCATTTTCTAAAATCCCCAATTATGTAGACAGGAAAATTCCTTGAGGCAATTGAAACAATAAAGCACATTATATTGCATATAATGTTTATATATTCTATTTTCTATTGTCGGTTCTATGTAAGGCATACCAAAGTGGAGCTGCCTTTATTCTTTTGAACAGTCCCACATGACTGATTTTGATACTTCAGATTTGCGAACGTTGACAGCAGTTATAAATAACTGGGACAATGAGACTTATCTCGTGAATACAACGGGGTTTCAAAGAAGACAACCATGTCCTGTAAGTTTACAAATACAAGTATCATATATTCATCGAATGTTGAACAGAGAATATAAAAGTTTAAAATTACATCGCAAACCAATGATCTTTTATTGTCCTTTGTAGCTAATGGTTTCTCGATTCAACATTGAGACCATTAAAAATAAGTCTGAGCTAGCATTTGCTAATTCAACTGTCGGCTGACGATTTAATGGATATTTTATGGCCAACTCATTTAAATATGAATAGTAATTGCTATCATTCATATTCACATTGAAATGAATTAAGACAACCGGTAGTTGAATTCGCGAATACTGGCTTAGTCAATCAAAAACCTACACCACACCAAATAGGAACAACAACGACTAACAATTACCCTCCCCTCACCATTCATCATTCAATCCAAAGTCCCAAGACTCCGAATGTTTTTATCACTGAATTCATTACGTACGAATATGATGAAGCTCAAATATTACAACAAAATATAAAATTATGAAGGGATAACTAATCTAAGAGAGGAGTGTAGCACTGGTTCCGTCGACCTCTCATGGTCATGTTAACTGATCAAACTTTCGTTTGCCACACCGAAATAAAGACCCCTTGAACAAGACTAATAAAGAGTGGTGTGAAACCCCTGGTATACTACTTTTGAGAGTATTTGGCTTTCATACTCATCTACGAAGATTATGTCACATGTAAAGTTCTCCAAACGACAAAATTCTTTTTGATGTATTATCAGGGTGATAGTGGCGGGCCTTTGATGTGCAAGCCAGATAATGAAAACTTCAAGGTAGTGGTTGGGATTATGAGCTATCTTACTTTGGAATTTGCCGACAGATGTAATGCTAAAGAAGGAGAGACGATACATTCCTCTATACCACACTTTCTCGGATGGATGCATAACCAGCTGATCGGTAAACGTGATTTATTTTTTCATGCCAAGTGTTGACTTTTAGATGATAATCCACATAGGGCAATGGTAAAAGACAATTGGATGCAAACGATTTTAATGCAGTTGATGACTTTTAATATTCAACGAAATAGAACATCAGTGAATTAGGCTTCTTGGAATAATGACTTTTAGACTACTATTTTACTCATCCCATTTCTATCCCTTCAAATCTTCATCATAGCAATTAGCTTTATAGAGAGATTATAATTCAACCAGAAATAATTGAGATTTTACAGTCACGGGTACAGGTGTAAAAGGGTAGGAGGTCCTATCAAAGTATGGTCCTACTTTCCATTGATTTATATGGTGACCTAAATACAATTCTTTCCCTTATTATCGTATCCACAATCAGGGCCAGTAAGGGCCGTTGAGAAAGGGGACCATAATCCCCAGGGGACCATAATTTATTTTACACCGGCTTCAATTTTCTTGTCAGTTATAAGAAGTAAATGTTTCCTTTTGTATTATATCTACCACTATTACCGTGTTTAAATCGTTATAGGTGAAATTCAGCTTACTATTATTATATAACGGGTGTCGACTTTTGGTAAGCAACCGAAGATACCTCAAGAAAAGCCGGAGATTGCCGACGATTGCCGAAGCTTTTCTTTGCAAACGAAGTTGGCCGAGGGTACCACGAATGTGAAGAGGACGTCTCTAATTGGTCAAAAATAGGGGCTCGGCATTCTCCGTCAGATTGAATCGGCAAAATTCGGTTGAATGGCTTACCTTCGGTTGTATGGCTTACCTTCGGCTGCATGGTCCAACCTCGATTGATTGGAAAAGATGCTGTCCCATAATATAACTGATCTTCTTTGTTGTAGGCAGAGGAGATGGAAACAGTAACTGGGATACACAGTTCTCCAAGTATCCATGGATTGCTTCTATCTGGAAGAACATTAGCTATGTTGGGGAACCTAAAGGATATGCCTGTGGAGGGATAATTATAACGGATACAATTGTGCTGACATCGGCATATTGTCTTTGCTTGGAAGAGAACTACTGTTGTGATCAGAATATTTTCAAGTAACAATGTGCAACTGATTTCTCTGCTTTTGCAGATATTTCCCCAAACAAAATGTCATTCTAGGCCTTACTCGAATAACACTTTGACTTGCATAAGCACCCATGTGACAAATCATTCATGATGATATATTTTAGTACCATAAAAATCCAACCATTTATTTCAGAATTACCTCTTAACGTTAAGACATTGTATTTTAGTTACGACAAATGCGACCTAAACGACTGGTGGGTTCAGGTCGGACAGTGTAAACTTGAGGATCCTGAAAATCCTTTCCTCATCAGAAAAATTTCAAAAATATTTATCCACGAATTATACGATGAGTTTAACATAGAAGAAGAAACTCGATTGAATGACATTGCTCTAATTGTGCTGAAGGATCCGCTTCCATTAGATGATCCGGATGTTGACACTGCGAGGATTCCTACAAGTGAGTGTACTAACAGTGGTGCTACCGGAGAAAGCTGCACAGAACACAAGTTGGAAGATTGCGAATATGCTAGTTGTGGGGAGAGTCCAAGTAAGTACAGTGACTTGGTAGTATATACAATTTGAGATCCTGCAGAGGGAGACTACAAGTAAATCATCTTTAAATTTTAATCATTTTTTGATCAGTTCTCATACAATGAGAAAGCGAGAAACATTCCAATGTTACAATAAATCTTGATATTCACTGATGTAATGTTGAGAACCAGCTGGCTCTCATGGAAATATTTTTTAAATGCGTGCATTTTCAAAAATATTGTAGCGAATTCAAAAATTGAGTTTGTTGGCTGGCCCACATCACAATTATATGACAAGACAAAAACTGCTAAGAATGACATCACTTATATTAACCTAGATTCTAACCAGCGCGACTTTATATATTTTGAGTTACATCCATTTGTTGTAGATGGTAATGGTTCATCTGACAAATTGAAAATAAATGGGCTTAATGTAACATATGTTTCGGAAAGTATAATAAATACAGAAAGTAAAGCTAAAGCTGCACCATGCAAGGTTAGTGTTTAA